CGGGGCTACCAGGGAGCGGCTAATGGCAAAGAGGAGGCGCGCCGTGGGGGCGGGGCCGGGGGCAGCCACCAGCCTGGACCGTGGCTTCTGCCCGCGGGCACTGGCGCGGGCACTGGCGCGGGACACGGGTTTCCGCGCAGGGGGCCGAGTAGCACAGGCCACTAAGAGCTTGTGTGTTCCGAGGCCTCCCCCGAGCCCCAGTTCTTGTACGCTGAAGCGAGTAACTCTTAGATTTATGTTCTGTCTATTCCGTTTTGCTTTTTAAGGTGCAGCTAGCGGAAAACTTAGTTGCGCCCGGGACTGGCTGCTTCTCGGTGCGCCCTCCTCTGCTCTGCCCTCAGCGCCCCTTCCAGCTTGGCCCTTAGGCCGCGGGACACACGGTCAGCGCCTGCAGCTGTCCTGTCCCGTGGCCTGCGGCGCCAGGCAGGACAGGCTCGCCTCTCCTGGGAGCCTCCCTTGGCGGCCTGGGGCCCCGAGTCCCCCCACGGGCCTGCCTGACCGCCGCCCGCGTGAGGTGCGGAAACTGCGGCAAGAAGGCCGCGCTGACCGTCCTTGTTCGGCTTCAACCCTCCACGCTCGTTCGCCACCTTCGCAAGCCCCACCTGGCGCCTCCAGAGGGGGGCAGGAGACATTTAGGGGGACACAGCTGGGACCCAGTCCCTAGGATCTCACCTTGGCTTGGGGCGCTCCTCTTCTGGAGGGGAGGGACACAAAGAGAAAATTAGCAGGAGTTGGTGGGGTGGCCTGACTCTGGAGGGATCCCCAACCTCTGCCCCCAGGAGCCCAGTTTTCTCCTCCTGGTGTTGCGAGGGAGGGACATGGGGGACTTAGGGGAGACGGGAAATTAGGTAAAGGAGGGAGGCTCACACCCCGTTATACATTCACAAGGGGGGCCCTCCCACTTCTCTGGAAACCTGGGAGTCCAACGTCTCTGACTGTTCTCCTTCGCACACCCAGAGCCCCTGCCTTCCTCTGCGGAGACCCCAGCACAGGGGCCCCCCAGGCCTCTTTATTCGGGGCCCCAGGGGCTGTGTCCCCAGGCTGCGCTCCTTTGGGGACACGGAAATCCAGGTCCCAGCGCAGCCCCTCCTGCAGTCCAGGCCCAAACCTCTGAATATATATGGGGGTGCATAAGAGCCGGGCACAAAGTGGGGCGGAGACTCGGCAAACTGCGGACCCCTGAGCTAGGGGAGGGCTGGGTGTGGGTCCCTCTAAGGAGGTCTCGGCTGGAGCGCCGCGGGCGACTCCCTTGCGGCCACCAGAGGGCGCGCGGGCCCTCGGCTTGAAGGGCCGGCCAGCGGGCGCCGAGGGACACCCCGGGTCTGCGCCCGAGAAGGCCCGCGTCTCCCGGCCCCGACATCCATCGCGGGAAGCGAAGCAGCCGCGGTTACCTCGCTCTGCCACCGGCTTCGGCTCCTCGGGGGCTGGGGAGGGGCACGAGGGGAGGCCAGGGTCGGGGGGTCGGGAGTGGCCGCGCCCCGGGGTGGAAGGGGAGAGGGGAGAGCGGTTAACGGCCCGGAGAGGCGGCTTTCGGGAGCCCCAGCCTCCCTGCCCGCCCGGCTCCCGCCGCGGCTCTCTGGCCGCACCCCACCAGCCCGCCGGCCCATCCTGCAGGGTCCAGCCCGGCCTGCGGAGCCCAGCGCGCACCTTCCTCCTCCTCTTCCTCCTCGTCAGCAGCCTCCTCCTCTGGAAGGGGTCGGGCAAGAAGAGAAAGGGGCACAGGGTCTTCATGGGGTACCTGGGGGCGCTGGTGGCCAGGCTCAGGCTGGGGGGTCCTCTGGCCTTGCTGCTAGGCGCACGGAGCCCCCCTCCGGCAGCCGAGATGGTGCTGAGAAAGCTTGAGGCCCCGGGGGAGGGCGTGGGGGGCCCCTGCCGCCTCTCCACCTCTGAACGTCCCGCACCTCCTCCTTTGACGCGGGGTCCCGGGGGCCAGCCCGCTGTCCACTCACCTTCCAGCTGCTCCCTGAGGACAGGGGTGGGAAGGACAGGGGTTAGGGCTGTGGGCGGGTGTCCCAGGCCCGCCCGGCCCTGGGGGGTCACTCACTCGTATTCCTGGTCTTCCCAGTCGGACATCCTGGTGGCGCTGAGGACCTGGGTCACAGGTCTATGGGGGGGTGCCAAAGAAGGCGCTGGGGGACACCTAAAGAACCTGAGGCCAGGCCTTGGGGCCCTGTCCATGCTGAGGCTGCACCCCAGCCGCCCCCGCCCCCCAGCCAGCTGTCCTCTTTTCTGGTCCCAGCTCTGTGGAACCTGACCGCACTGGGATTAGAGGGTGTTTGCACTGAGGCAGCCGGGAGCGGGGAGACAATGGCTGCCCCACTCCCAGGGGCTATTTTGGGGGGATGTCGCAGACAGTGAAACAGAACATCTAAGAAGGGATTTGAGGACAGAGGGGGCAGAGATTTAGTCCACCTGCCACCACCCCTCCCCCCCCAACCCCGCCCCTCAGTGGCTGGAATCCTTCCACCTGTCCCTGCCAGGCCTTCCCGGCGGGGGGGTGGGGGTGGGCAGGAAGATTCTGGAGCCCTTTTGTCCCCGGACCCTTATATGCTTAGGCCTCCTATTTCTGAGATTCCCCAGACCCCACGGTGCTCAGGTTAAAAGTCCCCCCAAATCCCAGTACCCACAAATCCTGAGACCCCAAGTTATGCCCTGGGTTCGAAGTCCAGCGAGTCCTCATATCTCCTGATTCTAAGACCCCTGCCCATTCCAAAATCCAGACTGTGGGCCAGGACAGACTGAGGCCCAGTTCACTACACCCCAAATGGCCAACTACAAATCCAGCTCCAGGGTGAGGCCCCGACGCCCGGGCCGCCAGCTAAGCCCCTGAGCAGCCACCCCGTCTCAGAGCGCTGGACCGAGCCAGGGCCCCAACCCCGCTTTCTGAGATCCCCTCAGATTTCTACGGTGTGATATTCTGAACTTCCAAGTCCTAGCACCCCCAGATCCTGTGACCCCCGTCCTAACACTTTTCCCTTCCACCCCTCCACCTAATACTTTCCCTTTCCCTTCAACCCCTCCCGCTGGCGCACCCCTAACTCAGTGGGGAGCCAGCACAGACCTCTACTTTGCTGCGGTCTCTGCACACCCTCGCGGTGGGCCCTCTCCCTCCCCCAAGGTCCCCATCCTAGGGGCTGCTTTACCTGAGGTGTCTGCAGAGGCGGAGGGAGGGCGGTGGAGGGAGCCCAGGGCTGCCCCTTTATAGCCGGCCCGTGGCCCGCCCCAGAGGGAGGGAACCAAAGCCAAACCCCAGCTGCGGGCAGCTCAGCCACTCCCTCCCTCCCCAGCCCCTCTCCCTTCCCCCAGCCCCCCACCACCCACGCAGGCCCCTCATTCCTACAGCTCGAGAGCTCCGGGTGGTGGCCCCAGCTCAGCACACAGTAGGTCTCTAGAGTGTATCCGCTGGCCAGAAGGAAGGAGGGGAACCCCCTTTTCTGAGTCTCCATCCCTCCCACCCCAGTGCTGTCTCTTGCCCTCTGTGGGCGCCATGGTGCTCCTGGCGGCAGCCTGTCTGTCCATCTCGTGTCTCCCGCTCCCACCCCTGCCCTTTGTCTGCCACCGGATTCCACCCTGGTGACAACAGGCGCTAAAGCTGGGGAGCAGGTGTCTGTGGGGTACCTCACACCCCCACCTCCAAGTTCGCTGCCAGGCGGACCGCCTCCGTCTGCCCATGGGGCGGGGCGGGTGTCTGTGTCTCTGCCCTGGGCGGGCACCCCAGCATTGGGGGCGCCCCTATCACCCTCACCCTCTGGGCTTGGAGCTCAGTCTGTGTGCGCTCCTGTCTTCCCGGGCAGCGACTCTCTCTAGCTCTTCCTGGGGGTCTTGTGTCTCTACTCCCCCTCCGTGGCCCTATTTCTGTCCACCTCACTCTCTGGGGTCTGCGTTCCGCTGCCCCCCACCCCCTTGGCACCACGGCCCCTCTCGGGTCTCGGGCTCTACCTCTGAGTGTCTCTGACCGCTCCGAGTGTGTGTCTCTCCATTGTCCTTGCCCTCAGCACCCCCGCGCATCCCCAGCTGGGGCAGGGGAGTGGGGGACACCGCCTGAAGGCTTTGGGGGGGTCGCGCCTCGCCTCTCCTGGCGCTGCTGTACCCAAGCCGCGCCCACCCGGCCCCCAAGGAGCAGCCGCACTCGCTCGGCTCGGAGAGAAGCTTTATTCCTCAGGCCGGCGCAGCTCAGCCCTCGAACTTCTTCTTGCGGCCCTCCATCCCGCTCAGCGCGTCGATGTTCTTGCGCCAGTCCCCGACCTCGCGGTTCTCCTGGGGAGCGAGCGCCGGGTCAGGGCCCCGGCCCCCGCGCCCCGCGGAGGCTCCGGAAGAGGCCCCGCCCCCTGGCCGCCTCAGGCCCCGCCCGGCGCTGCCCCGCCCCCAGCCTGCCGCGCTCACCTTCTCCGTGTCCTCCTTCTTCACCTGCTTGAGGTTGGCGCGCAGGTCCAGGGACTCCTTGGCGCGCGTGCCCAGCAGCGCCTGCATCATGGCGTCCGCCGAGATGCGCACCCTCCGCAGCGTGGGCCGCTTGAACTTGCCGCGGAGATCCAACACCTTCTGGGTGAGGTCTGCGATCTGGGGGCGGCGGAGGCGGCTCTCGCTGCCGGCCTCGCTCCCCGTCGCCAGGCTCTCGCCCGTCTCCACCCAGGCCCTCCTTAGCTCGGCGCCTGTGGCCTTCGGCCAACTCCGAACTGCTCACCCAGGAACTGGACCACCGACCTCCCCGAGGCACCTGTGAAGCCTCCTGCATGGGGGTTCCCTGCGACATTTACTGCCCCAGCTCCTGCCACATCCCCAGACGAGTCCTGCGGACCCAGCTCCCCGCTTTTGCCCTGGCTGCCGGCTCTCCCCTGCAGGCTCCTGGGCTGGACCACCCTCCCCTACCCCACCCCCCCTCCCTGCTGGCGAGGCTTCCGGAGTCTCCGGCTGACAGCCCCCACAGCGTCAGGGGTCAGGCAGAGAGCACACCACAGGCCCGTCTGCCCAGCTGCGGCTCCCCCACCTCGGAGACATTCTTGGTGACCTTCGCCTCCACATCGTATCTCTCCTCATCCACCTTGTCCACGCGGGCGTGCAGCTGTCGGCACAAGTCCTGGGGAAGGAGTGCGCAGAGTGGTGGGGAGACTGGGCACCCAGGCTCCGGGGGTGGGGGCTGGGCTGGAGGGACGGGGCTGGGCCTCTGGCTCTAGGAGAGTAGATGTGAGCTGGACTGCCGACAAATGCAAATAACGGGGGCTGGGAGCCTGAGAGTCTGACAGAATTAGGGCTGGGGGCTGATCCCCGGGTTTGGAGATGGTTGGCCGGCTTTCTGAACCCCCGAGGGCAAGGGTGCAGGGCAAGGGTGCGGTGGGGGCCTCAGGGTCCTTGGGGCAGGGCGCAGTCAGTGCTGCCCCTGAGCCCAGAGACACAAGACAGCACGCTCGGAGCCTTGGTTCCAGGCTGGGCAGGAGTCCGACACCTGCAGCTCCGCGACGCCCAGCCCGGCCAACTCCAGAGGCTCGCACCGCGCGCTCAGAGCGCGCCCCTTCTCTCCGCGTCGCTCCTCCGCCTCCCGCTCCAACTCCTGCTTCGCCACCTGCAGCATCAGGGTCTGGGGGGGGAGGCAGGGGGCGGCAGTTCATCCAGAGGTGGGAGGATGAAGACCGCTGGCCCCGGGGAGCCGCCCACAACTGCCGCCTGCCCAGCCCCTGACCAGGCCGGCCGGCCCCCAGACTGGCGCCCAGCCTTCCGAAGCCCCGCCCCTCCCTAGCAGGACGGCCTCCCGAGCCACGCCCCCACGAATACCCAGCCCCGCCCACTGGCAACCCTAAATCCCACGCCGACTTTCAAAGCCCGCCCCCGGGCACCTGAGCGCCCAGGCCCACCTCTTACCTTCAGCTGCAGCTTTCTTGAGGCGGAGATCTTAGACTTTCTCTGCCGGTGAGACGGAGCAAGGCAGAGTCAGGGAGGTGGGGGTCCAGAAGAGGGCGGCGGGAGAGGCTTTGGAACCGCCCCGTCAAGCCAGATTCGGACTCGGGCGCCTCTCCAACGCCCCCGCTTAGGCTACGGGAAGCCACGCCCCTCGTCCCACCGGCCAATCTGGGCCTCTGATCCGGCCAGGCACCGCCCACCCATCAAATCACAGTTCCCGCGGGCAACGGAGCTCCGCCCAGAGGCAGCTGTCACCAATCAGAGCGCCGCCCGCCCGGTGAGACGCTCGCCCCAAGGTCCGCCAGCTACTGGGCTCCGCCCACAACGAAGCCACGCCCTCCTAGGCTCTGGCTCCGCCCCTCCCCACAGGGGCGAGGAACCTGCCAACCCGACTTCCACCCTAGAGGCCGCGTCCGGGTCGCGCCCTCGGGCCCGCCGCGCCCTCACCCTGGCGTGAGGCTCCGTGGTGGAGGCGCGGTACTTGGCGGAGAGGTGGGGTCGCATCAGAGCCGGCGCGGGGCGCGGGTCCCGGCCGGGGTTGGTGAAGGGGCCCCGTCACACCCACAGCCCCTCTCCTATGCCTGCAGCCTCCCGCCCAGGGCCCTGCCGGTCCAGCCGGCGCCCGCTCTCACCGCTTCTCTGTTCCTGCGGGGAGAAAGCAGGAAAGGGGTAGCGGGAATGCAGAGCCCCTCTGCCGCCAGCCCCGCCTCCTCCTCGGGCCCCAGCAGCTGGCTTCCCAAGCCCTCACCCGCCGCCCACACGGCATCTGTCCCGCCACCATCTCAGGCCAGCGGGCCTGGCGGCTTCCACCCTCTCGGAAGCAGGGAGCCCGAGGTGGCCTGCCCACGTCCCGCTTCCTCAAGCCTCAGGAGCCCACTCCCCAAGCTGCACTCACTCGTCTGCCATGCTGAGCCTCAGGCCGCCAGATGTGGGAGGCAGCGAAGGGGACACGGGTGCTGAGGCCCTCAGTGAGGGGCGCCCGCCGTGACCTTGAAGGTCCTGGGACTCCGGTCTCACCCTGGTTCCTCGAACCTCAGTGAGGACACTGGGACCAAGGGCGAGGACAGAGACTAAATATACTGCTGCCGCCTCCTCCCTGCCAGGACGGGAGATAAGGGGCGCACGAGCCCAGGGCAGGCCCTGCTCCAGCTGGATCACTCTCCACCTTGGGGCTCAGAAATCTGGCCCCCGCCCCGCACACCCCAGGCCTCCCTCCCCGGAGTGTGGCCCATCCTCTCACTGGCGAGCAGGCCCTCTCGCCTCGCGTGCCCCCATCCCGCCTGCCCCCATCCGGTAGCTGCTGCGTCCTGTGATGTCCCCGGGGGTCCGGTGGGGTGCGCGGCCCTCCGCGGTGAAGCATGCCGCTAGCCCATTTGGAGCCCCAGAAACCTGGTGTCACATCGTGCCCGCTCCTGCCCCTGCCCGTTCCCAACAGGAGCCGCACTGAGGACAGGCGAGACACGCAGACCCTGAGAAGACAACCCACGTCTTTACTGGGCCCGCGGGATGCCGAGCCGCGGAGGGAGGAGAACCCGGCCAAGGGACGGGCGCAGGGCCCTGCAGCCAGGGTGGGATCTCTCCCCGGTTAAGCATCTCCCCCGCGGAATGTGGAGCTCTGAGGGGTGGAATGCGGAGTCCCAGGAACGGAATCTGAAGTCCTAGCTGCCCGCTGAAGTCCTAGCTGCCCTCGGGCGGGTGAGAATGCTGAGCGCCAGACTGGGAGCTGGAAAGGAGGGCTGGGGGAGGGGCTGGCTCTAATCAGGACCTGCGTTTAGAAGTCCCATGTGGGGGGCTTGGTCTCTGCGGGTCCCTTCAGACTGACCCTCCGTAGGCAGAGCCAAAGCTTTCTGGGGTGGAGCCAGAACCTTGGAGAGTGAAGCCTGAGGCTCGGGGGCGGGCGCGGCTGGCTCAGAGGCTGGGGCCCGGCCCCGCAGAGGCGAGGTCTTCCGGGCCTCCGGGGGCGGAGTCGAGGCCTCCGGGGGCGGAGCCTGGGCGCCTAGGGGCGGAGTCCGGGGCTCCAGGGCTGGCACCACTGGGCCTGGAGCGGAGTCCCCAGACTTGCAGAAGCGCAAGAAGGTCTCGGAGGACCTGGCCCCGGGCTGTGCGGCAAATCCGGCTGCCTGAGCGAGCTCCGCCGCCCGCGAGGAGAACTCCTGCAGCTGCTCCGACCGCAGGTCCACCAGGTACCTGAAACGCAAGCCCGGTTAGAGGCCCTGGCTGCCGGCCCTGCTCCAGGCCCCTGCTCCGCGCCGCTGACTCACCGGGCTAATTCCACAACCAAGTGCCCTCCCGGGGCTACACAGGCCCCGAGCTCAGGACTGAGAAGATGAACCATCCTGCAGAGAGAAACGGGGTGCCTGAGGGCCGCACGCACACACACGCGTGAAGTCCAGAGTCTGAGGGAAGAAGCTGGGACCTGGAATCTGGGTCTGGGGAGGAGGCCAGGAAGGGTCACCAGGAACTCCTCCAGATCCTCTTACCCACAGGCCATGTACAGAAGCTGGAACCGTCCCTTGTAGCAGCTCTTGTGGTGTAGAGTCTGGGCAGAGCCGAGGGGCAGGAAGTGGACAGTGAAGAGTTCTGGGCCAGTGGCTGCTGGGAAGAGTCAGGCCTACTCGCAAACTTGGAGTTAACACTCCCTGTCTGTCCTGAAACCTCTCGCCGGCTCCCTCTAGGTACTAGATTCCTAGACAATGCTGGCAATGGCAGCCTGGCAGACAGACAGCCCTTGTACAGACCGCCACAGAGATGGGAGAGGGAGGAGCCGGTGGCCCAGGGCACTGAGGGCGCCCGGATGCCCAGGGAGGGGCGCGGGTACAAAGGGGCTGCCAGAGGGAAAGTTCCGGCCATCCACACTCCCGCACAGTGGATTCCCACTCTGCCCAGATCCTGGGTGGTTTCCGGACACAGGCGAGGGCAAGGACAAAAGGCCAGGAGAGGGACGGAAGGGCGGAGAGGGAGGTCTGGACAGTCTCGGGCCACACTCCCTGAAACCCTGGGCCTGGGCCAGCGGGGGCGGGCCCGGGCCCACCCTCTACTGGAGGGCAAGGGGGAGGGCTGGGCCTGCCTACCAGGCTCTGGGCTTCCTTCGCCGGGCGGCACCGGCTCAGGATCTCCCCGGGGGCGGGCGGCCAGCTCCCGGAGCAGCTCGGTCACGTTGTGATGCGTAATCTCGCCCGCCGTCTGGAGGGGAGCAGGGGCCGAGGCCAGACACTAGCGAGCAGGGCTGGTCCACTCCCCACCATGGCTAGCGTCTGGAGGGGGCGGGGCCGCTAGGGGCCTCCCGCGCCCCGCCTTTCCCACCGCACCTTGACGGGCTGCCCGTTGCTGGTCCGCAGGAGGCTCTCGTCATCCGCTTCGATGCCGAAGGCCACAAAGGGCCCCGTGGCGATGTCCCCCCAGTACCCTCGCGCTGCCACGCGCTCCCCTCGCTAGGAAAGCAGGGGGGGAGGTGGGTGAGGCCGACGTTGGGGCCCCAGGCCTGGGGTCCAGGAGGGGCGGGCAGGCCAGGCTGGCGTGGGGACGCACGTGGCTCAGCAGGCGGCCAGACGCCAGCGTCCGGTTGGGCGCGTGGTAGGCGCCGGCGTCTCTGAGCTCAAAGGCGACACCCGTGTCCCTCCAGCGCCGAAACTCGCGGGTGTGGATGACGCGGGCCTGGGGGCGGGAGGCTCCGTGAAGCTGGCGCGTGGCCCCGCGGCCCGCGCCCACCGGCCCGGCGCCGGCGGCTCACCCCGCGGTCGTGCAGCTTCATGTGCAGGTCCCAGTCGCTGACGCCGCGCCGGGCGTCGTAGCGGGAGCCCAGGTAGTGGCGCAGCCGCGCGTCCCAGAGGCGGCCCATGGGGAAGGCCGCGGGCCCCTCCTCCCCGCCGGCCCAGAAGCGGAACACGGCCTCCAGGGCGTCGCGCTCGCGGAACTGCGGCGGCAGGGGTGCGGGAGTGGCCGGCGCCGGCCTGAGCAGCGGCCTCGCCGACCCTCCCGCCCCCGCGGCGTGGGCCGATGCTCCCATTTCCCCTAGGAGCAAACAGGCGCAGAGAGCAGAAGCCGCCCCGCCCCGTCAACCCCCAATGGGAGTTGGGGAGCTGGGGTCCCAAGTCTCGAGCCCACCCCGTTAGTGCTCCATCGACGCAGGCCCTTGCACCGCGCCCTCCCGCCGCCACCCCGACCCCAGAAGGAGACGGACGGAGGCCGGCGGCGGCACCTTGAGGGCGCCCAGGCTGAGCCAGGGCAGCTGCTCCGCCAGGCGGTCGGGTTCCGGGATCAGGTGCGCCAGGCTGGCGGCCTGGACGCGCACGAAGGCGGCCACCGGGGGGCGCAGCAGCGCGTTCCCCCACACCTCCAGGAAGATCTCGCTCCGCTCTGCAGCATGGGCAGAGAGGCGGTGAGCCCCGACACGAGACCCGCGTGGGCGAAGTCTCCCCTCCCCACAGTAATCTTTTCCTCCCCACAGTAATCTTTTCCTCCCCACAGTAATCTTTTTCTCGCGCATGATCAGAAAGGACCGGTCAGCTCCCTCCCCTCCCAGTAACTGGAACAAGACAAACGACAGCTCTCCAATGTCTCCTCTCCCACTTCCCCGCCTTAAGAGTCACACAGACTCGCACGTGTGGAGAGAGAGCCAAAGCTGACTGTGCCCTTGCAGTGCTGGGACGGGGTGGGGGTGGGGGGCGCTGCGGGCCAGGTCCCTGGGTGCCTGCAACTGACCTTGCAGTCCCATCTTCTCAGGCTCTTCCAGTGCTAGGCTGAGGATTAGCATGTGGCGGGCCACAGCTTCCAGATTACTCTCCAGTACATAGAACTGGAGGAACAGATGGGGCGGGACATGCTGAGGTTTTCCCGGGATCCCTGGAGCAGGAGACCTAAGCCCCTCCTCCCACAGGAGGAGTCCCAAAGTCTTGAACCCTCCTCCCCACCATTACTCTGGGCCTGGGCCTGAGGCTCCTTCTCCCGCTGGAACCCAAGGGTCCCCAAGCCCAGCCTGTTCCTCCCCCAGGGCCCAGGATTCTGGGCCCCCAGCTTTCACGGCTTCAGACCTAGGATTCCAGGCCCCCTCCTCCCTCAAGGACTCAGGGACCCGGTTGTCATCCTCCTCCCACGTGACCCCAGAATCCCAGCTCACGTTGACCCTCCTGCGGGGCCAGAGGGCAGCCCGGGCCAGGGTCCGCAGCAGGTGCCGCCCGTCCACGGAGCCCAGCAACAGCACATGCAGCTCGGGGGTCCCGCACCCGGTGTCTGCCGGAGAGCAGGGGTCCGCAGGAGGACCTGGAAGAGGACGGCGCCCAGAGGAGCTGCGCCTCTCGGCTCCTGGGGGCCCCTGGGCTGCCCGCTGGCAGTGTCCCTGCGTTGGGGCCTCAGAGAACGTGAGCGCACGGCAGGCAAGGGCGTGTGGGCAGCCACCGCGTCGGGGAGCTGGGGTCCTGAGTGGGGGACTCACTTTCGGCCTGCAGGTCCAGCGCCGGGGACAGGCCCCACCATGACACGGAGCCGAAGCCCGTGCCCGAGCCTGCCGGGGTGGTCATCGCCTGTGGGACGGACACCCTGCGGGTCCCCAAGCCTCATGTCCGCAGGGCCCACCGCACCCCCCTCTCACCGCCCGACTCGCGCCCCTTCCCCCCCGCGGGACACCCCACCCCCACCCCTCCACCTGCACCTCATCCTTCCAGTATCCCGGGGCGTCTGCACCTGCCCGTTGGGTGCTGCGCTGCGGTCCGCACCACCTCCGCAACCGCTGCCCGAAGCCCCCGCCCACTTCGATCAGTCGGCCAATGGGAGCACAAGGGTCGGCACCGCCGAGATTAGCTGACCAATGAGAGCGAGCGCGACCCTGACCCTGTGAACTTTTGGCCAATGGGGCTCTGAGGGCGGCTACCGAGAGGAGGGTTTGTGGACGCGGTTGTCATGCCGACCAGGCTGGCGGAGGGGGCAGGGCCAGGGCGGGCCGCGTTGAGAAGAGGGAGGGCCGGACGGATCCCAGCGCGCACCAAGTGGACACAGCGGGCTAGTTAAATCCTCCTCTGTAGACCTCTGTGTCCGCTTGCCCCGACACCGTGGTTCTGCCACGCAGAACTTCCACCACGTGTTGGTGGCCGTGAGCACGTGCTCCAGCTTGTTAACATTTCGGGAATTTTGTGACCTGGTTGTTAAAGGCCACGACTTAAAATTCCAGCATTTACTAAAATACTAAAAATCAAATTCCAGCTAGATGCATGGCGTTAAAGAGTAATACATACAGCTCATACCTCCCAGCTCCACTCTCACCCAGGTCCTTAAGGTATTTTCATTTGTCATATTTTGAAAGAATCGTGATTTTCCTGTCTGCGTGCTGCAGAGCAGGTCTCATTAATTCTCGAACACACAATTCCCTTAGCTGTTCACTGGGGTAATAACCGTGTCTGTTTCACCGGGTAGCTGCAGCAGTAACAGCAACACCACACAGTGTTCTCTTCATAAAAGTGCCCGTCCACTCACTCCCACCTGGAATTGTTGAATTCCATGACAGGTTTTTTTTTTTTTTTAATCTCATGGATGTCACAACTGCGCAACTTTTCTGATTTCCCTTTTCCCATTAGCTGCCAGGATGCTCAGAGGCGAGTTTAGTGTTGGCTAGTTTCCTTCTCACATGGAAGTGTTTTTTGCCTTTTACTTACTCTGATGTTTAGAGAACTGTCTTGCCAAATTTCATGACCTTTTTCCTGCCACCTGAAATGTCTGGGAGGAGGTGAGGGAGAAGCTAATGAAGTGACTGCTGTTGAGAGGCAGAATTTGCTCAGGGTGAGGTTATACCTGTAGATCTCTTGTTCTGTCCCTGGAATTTTTGTTACCAGACTGCCTAACTACTTTTTCCTTAACCAAAGTAAGCTGTGTCTGCATCATTAATTTTGGTTCCCAACACTCTGTAGAAGGTGACGTGGAGGTGACCTCAAGGACTAGGGATGGATGAGTGCTGGAGGATAGGAAGATAAGGAGAGGGGAAGGAGGAGACGGCAGAGGGAGGAATAGATGGGCATGCAAACCTATGTAAATCTGGGCGGGGGGCTGGACAATTCATGAGTAGGTAGATGACTCCTCCCGACCCTCACCTCACCCAAATATGCGGCAGGTATTCTTCGTGATGTCTGCAGAGGAGGAGAGGACTGACTGACTGAGTGAGTGCGTGGTGAGAAGTGGGTGAAGAGCGGGAGCCGGTGCGCTTCCTCCCTGCCTGGCCCAGGACATGGGCTCTCCCGCTCCCCCCACTCCCCCCAAGAAGCACCGGTCCGGCCACACCATGGAGGTTGCAGTTTTATTTGGTCCCAGGAGCAGTACAGGAATGAGACTGGCGACAGGACTGGGAGTCCCGTGTAGGAAGAAGGGCGCTGGGCATCAAGGGGGACAGGCTGGGATGGCTGATTGTCAAAGCAGAGGGCAGGACCCGCTGGAGGGTGACTGCTCCCCTCCCACAAGGGTCCCTGGGACTTGTGGAAGAGTGTGGTGGGGGTTGGCAAGTGATCGTGATTGGCATAGCGGGGTGAGAAGGGAGGAGTGGGCGGGGCTCAAGGAGGGTGGGGCTTGGCCAGGGGCTGGCTTAGGAATCAGGGCGCAGGCAGCGGCCGCACTCGGTCAGGGGGCCGCAGCGAGTGCCACTGGGCGATGGGCCTCCGGGGGCTGGCCAGCATGTCTGCCCAGTGCCTCAGGCCAGCCCCGCCGGCCGCCGTGCCCACGGCCACTCGCCCAATGGCCTCATTCTTGCCCAGCTTATCGTAGTCCAATACGGTCAGCTCCACCTGTACCTTCTGGGGTGGGCAGAGGAAGGAAGCAGCTGGAGGGGTCCTGTACCCCTTCTCATAAGCAGGGCTCAGTGGGGCTGGGACCCTTAGGCTAAGTGAGGCCTCACGGG